TAACTTCTTATCCCTTGGCGCCATTAACAAATACTCCATTCCATATCTACTTAGAATTTAAAAATTGCACCTAGCAAATTAATTCTAAAACTACCCAACACATGTTTGTTAAAAGCCCAAATGCTTTTTAATGTTAAGCCTAATCAAAAGCCCAACCAAATCACCGATAGCCGGCCCATCAAAATGGGCACAAACTCAAGCTGTTTGATTTCGATGCTGTTCTGTTTGCTGTTCGCCAAGGTGGAAATTCTTTCTACCATTTCCATCATCTACGTGGATGGTGGTTTCCTCACTTGTACCCCCTTCCACCTTGAACATGGTTTCTTCAACTCTTTCTATCTTCTACCATATGTGGGCTATAGCCTATATAAATGTCTTGCATTTTATTCAATTTCTTCTCCAAAATCCCTAAAACTTCTCCCTTCTTCCTTCTCCGCTCACGATTAGCAGGAATCGATAGTTTTTTTTCCCTATTCTATGTGTTTGTGATGAACTTCTTCCTCTGTTCCTCTCTCGTCGCAGCCTCTCCCAAATTCAACAACAATAGCCTCCAAGAAACCATGATTGGTGTTCTTGCTCAAGTGAAGGTCCAACATGCCTTTCTTTTCCCTCTCTCTCTCTCTCTTTAGTTTTCAATGTCTTGGTGTTAATTTTTGGAGGGATTTGAATTTGGGTTAAAATATGATAAATTTGACTAAGAACAAAATAATTAGTAGTAATAATTTCTTTGTTGGTCTTGAATTTTTTTTAATAAAAAAATGTTGGCATAATTATTTTTCAACTTTCTAAATAAAATAAAAGCTACAAGGTGAGGTGCAAAATCCCAAGAATTGAATAGGGGAAGGGCAGATAAATTAGGTAGTGCATTATGGCAACTCAATGTCATTCAAAAGAATAAATGAAGATATTTTTCTATTGTGGTTTATTGGTGGATACTGCAGTTTAATAAGATTGTTGGTGTGTTGTACTCTTGATTAGTATTCGAAATTGAATTTTGCCAAAAGCAGATACTAACTTAATTTCTAACAATTTCCTCTGTCAAAGAAAAGAAGAAATGAAGATGTAAGATGGAGGCTTTTTAAACTCAAAAAAAGTCTCGTGTTCAAACTTTGCTAAGAATGAGAGAAATTTAAAAATTGGGAAAGATTTATCTGGAACTGGCAGGGGTGTCTGGTCTACTATTACTACTAGTAGCCTTGCTGGATTTCAACCAAAATTTTCAAAAAGTAGCATCCAATTCCAAATCCAAACCGACTTGGGTTGGGTGGGTGCCTTCGAAGAAAACATCAACATCCAATATTTACGAGCTGAAATTGATGGAGAGGTGTGGTGTAGTGTGGATGATGTTTTTATTCCTCGGCTTTCTGTTGAAAGGTAACTGGGCCTCCAACTGAAGACGAACAGGAAAAGTCCTCCAGGCTCCAACACAAGCCGGACCTAAGAAAAGCTAGTTGGATGATGGAATAATCAATAATGGGTTATATACAGTGCACCAGGCCTACCTTTAACTATTAGTTATTAGCTTACGTAATAGTTAATGGATGTTTTGAGCGAGTGACATAGGCCTCATTTCCTATAATATATTTTGTTTGAAAAAAATAAAAGTGATAGGAGGCAATTGAATAGGAAGATGTTCGATATTTTTCTTAATATAAAAGTTAAAAGAAAAAACAACGTAAATTACTTTCTTCCCTTTCTCCCTCTAATTATTTTTAGTTACTAAATAAAAGATTTTTTTTTTCTCTCCCTCTCTTTTTTTTTTTTCAAACCAAATCTTTGATCTCAAATCAAATATATTGAGTACATGAGTTTCAATATAAAACTTATATTTAATTCAAAATTAATTGATAATAATCATATTTGTTATATAGTTAATATGAAATTTTTTCATTCAACATATTCTTTCCCATACAAATTACTATAAATGTTAGAGCTTATCATATGATTTAATATGCTCTCTTGTATCCAGATAAAATATTAATATTATGTGAAAATTAAATATGTAAATTTTAGGTAAAAATATGACATAAGGACCCGAACTTACACCAAATTCGTAATTTCAGACTCAAACTTCAATTGCACTTAATAAAGGTCCTGAACTCCACAAAATTCTCAAATAAGTACCCAATTGGACGGAAAACTAACTTCTGTCAAATCTCCTATTAATTTCGTTAATGTCCATCACATTTCACACCCGCCACTTGAAAAAAATTAGTTAAATGCTAATTTTGGTCCCTCAACTTCATTGAGTTTCACTTTTTTGTCCCTCAACTTCATTAAATTTCACTTTTTTATCCCTCAACTTTAGTAAATTGTACTTTTTTAGTTCATAAACTATTTTTTATATTTTTTTGGTCCTTAAATTATTTTTTATACTTTTTTAATCCCTTAACTTTAATAACTACATACCTATCTACCTATTTTCTTCCCCCTCTTTCTTTCTCTTTCTTTCTCTTTCTTCTAGTGGGGGAAGAAAATAGGTGGAGAGGTTTTTTTATTTTTATTAAAAATATAAAAATTTATCTACATATTATTTTATGTATCCATGTCATCATTTTTTCTAGTTACATGATCTATTTTATTATGTTTTTCTAATTAGATTATACATGTCATCAAAAAAATATAAAAAATGCCACATGAATGAAGTTAATGGTTTAAGTTGACAAAAGTATCAAAATTGTGCAGTTGTTAAAGTTAATGGATAAAAAAAGTGCAAAAAATAGTTTAAAGACCAAAAAAGTACAAAAAATAGTTTAAAGACCAAAAAGTATAACTTAATAAAGTTGAAGGATAAAAAAGTGTAATTTAATGAAGTTAAGGGACAAAAAGTGAAATTTAATGAAGTTGAGAGATAAAAAAGTGCAACTTAATGAAGTTGAGGGACCAAAATTAGAATTTAATCAATTTTTTTCAAGTGGCGGGTGTAAAGTGTGACGGACATTAACGGAATAATAAGAGATTTGACGGAAGTTAGTTTTCCGTCCAATTGGGACATTATTTGAGAATTTCGTGGAGTTTGAGACCTTCATTGAGCGCAATCGAAGTTTGAGTCCGAAATTACGAATTTGGTGTAAGTTCGGGTCCTTTGTTATATTTTTGCCTAAATTTTAATATTAGACTTATATTTAACTTAAAATTAATTAACAATAAATGCAAAGATTTTTTTTATATTTAACCTATATATATTTTTATTATATATTTGATATGAAAATGTTGCATTCAAGACATTCTACTAATTGTTGGCTGAAAAAATCATCATTGCTTAGAATTTTCAAAGCTCGTGTTTTGGAGAATGGCTAACACAATTAAAGTCTAATCCATAAATATAGAGAGTGACTCCATAGGAATTAGACAGCAATTGTGTCCCTCATCCTCTCTTCTTGTCCCTACTTTGATAGCCACAACTTGAAAAGCCAGCCGCTCCGGAGGAAGTCGTCAATTGCTAAACCCATTGAGAGAAGCTGAAAACTGCCTTTCAAAATTTTACAATCTCAAGAATTAAAATTGGATGAATAATTTGTGATGGGGTGAAAACTATAGATATGGCCATCATCATCGTCAACAAATTTTTAATTTTTAATTTTTTTGGTTACAGAGACTTGAAACAATATATCAATATGGTGAGTGATTTTTTTAATAGGAGGTGTCCACCTCATGGGCGTCCTCACACCTCACCTCACCTCACCTCAGCCCCACTATCATCAATTCAGCCATCTTCCTGGAATATGGCCATGATCATCGTCAACAATTTTTTAACTTTTAATTTTTTTGGTTACAGAGACTTGAAACAATATAACAATTTGGTCATTGATTCTTATTATAGAAGGTATCCGCGTCATGGGCATCCTCACCTATAAGGATAGGTCCGAGGTGCCAAGCCTCGGACTGCTACAGTAATTCTTTTATGACTGAAGTGAAGGATAAATCCAAAGTTTCCCGCTCAAATAGCTGCATGACAACGACAATGAGCACGCCCGCACCTGATTCCTTATGATGAGCTGCACAGCAGTTATAGCGGACATCCTTGCATCTGAATACCTCTCAAATTCCCGGTCTTGAAATAACCGTCTGGAGATACACATCAGATCCCGAATATCTTGCTTGGCATGCCACGTGGGTTCCTCATTGGATCCTATAAATACCCCCCACGGGCCACGTCAAAAGGTAATTGAAGCCAACCCTAAGCTCCTATTATCTCCGCTCTAAAGGTAGTCTCGATTATTGCTGACTTAAGCATCGGAGTATCTACCCCGAGTTCCATCTCGGGGCTTTGCAGGTCAATCCGGAGTGCAGACGCGGACTGAAGAGGAACTTCTGGTTTGGTGCAATTACATTGGCGCCATCTGTGGGAATCCGAACTGAAGGCTTCCTTGTTGCTCTTATCATGGTTAATACTAGGTCAGTCCGAGCTGGAAACTCATCTCAACCTCTTGGACGAGGTCAAGTCCCCAGCAACCTTCCACCTCACCTCCCACCTCCAATCCCAAATACATTCCCTCATGTTGACCATGCAGAAGGAGGAGATGAAAACCAACCACACAATTCGGCTCACAACTCAGCCTTTACTGCCAACCAAGATGTAGTTGCGGCTCAGCTCGCTGCCATTCAACAACAGTTTGGTGTCTTTCAGCTAGTGCTGGCTCAGCTATTAACCCGGAACAATCCTGGTGATCCACTCATCAACCTACTTAATCCTGCTCCACAACCCCCAGCTTCACAACAAAACCTTGAACCAGTTTAGCATGTTCCTGCTCTTAGTGAATCTCAGGGCCAATCTCACATCGCACCAGCTCAGCAACCTCTCCCTGATGATGTCACTCGACGTCTAGACAGCCTGGAAAAGTTAGTAGTTGAGCAGAGGGGTGCCCCACCTCCACGTCATGCCATGGACTCCATACCTCACCCTTTAAACACCAACATCACATTAGAACCCTACCCTGCTGGCTTTAGAATACCTCAACTTGAGACTTATGATGGGACGAAGGATCCTGATGATCACCTGCATGCTTTCTACTCTTGCATGCAAGCCCAGAATGCCTCTAATGCGTTGATGTGCAAAATCTTTCCCTCTACTCTTCGAGGTAATGCTCAAACCTGGTATTATAGTCTATCTTCGAGGTCAATCAGCTCTTATACAGATATGACATCTACTTTCGCCACAAAGTTTTCCAGTAGAAGGTTGATCAGGAAAACCACTTTTGAGCTGATGCGAGTGAGGCAGAGGGACAGAGAGTCTTTGAAGAATTTTATGAGCAGGTTCAATGATGCAGTACTGGAGGTTAGCTCTTTCGACCAGGCTGTGGGAATTACAGCTGTGATCTCAAGTCTTAGCCATGAGAGATTCAGAGATAGTCTGCTCAAACATCCTACCACCACCTTCAGCGAGGTAAATGATAAGTCGTTGAAATTCATAACTGCTGAAGAGTATGCCTTGTCGCAAAAACCAGCCCCCTCGAAGAACCAAAACCTAGACTGGCGAGATGAGAATCTAAGCAGGAAGCGGATGAGGATAGCACAGAACCGAGGTCCAGTGTCGACCTCCGCACAGAGATTCGGAAGGCTGAACTCTACACCCTCACAACAGTCTGAAGGTAAACCTCCAGTTAACTGGACTCCTTTTAATTTGCCGAGGTCACAGATTTTCATGCAGATCAAGAATAAGATGGATTTAAGGCGTCCTGGCCCAATGAGAACTACCGCTACTAGCCGAGACCATATCAGATATTGTGATTTTCATCAAGATCACGGTCATACAACAGAGCAATGCAACAGCTTGAGGTCCGAGCTGGAAAGTCTTGCCCGGAAGGGACTGTTGAATGAGTACATTCAGAGAGCTGAACAGCCAAGGTTTGTCAGAGAACAAAGGCCACAGCCTCAGAGAGTCCGTAACCCACCAAATAGGCAAGGTGTGGGATATCAGCAAACCCCACCTCTGCTCCCACCACCAGCTAGAATCATACACATGATCATAGGAGGCCTGAAAGCAGGTGGACTGAGCTCTAAACAGTGAAAGTTGTATGTTAGAGAGGTTAAGCATCAGAACCGAGCTCAGAAACGGAAGTTTGACGATGCTGAGTAGAAGAATCAACCCATTACTTTCACATCTGCTGATCTCAATACAGTCGTCACACCTCACAATGACCCTCTAGTCACTTCTGTCATGATTAACAGTTGTGAGGTACAGCGTATCCTTGTTGACACAAGAAGTGCACCAGATATAATATACTTCCATTGTTTTGAGAGTCTTGGGCTGGATCCAGCTTTGTTGCAGAAGTATGATGGTCCCATCTACGGATTCAACAACCAACCAGTTCTAGTTGAAGGAGTCTTAACCATGAATGTTGCATTTGGAAGTGGCCGAAATTATGTGACCCCTTCAGTTAGGTTTCTAGTAGTCAAGATGACGTCCTCCTTCAATGTTGTTATTGGTCAACCTATGCTGACTGAGATCCGAGCTGTAGTTTCCTAGTCTCACCTCTGCATGAAGTTCCCAACTCCTATGGGAATAACAACACTGCGAGGCAACCAGGAGGTGGCTAGACATTGCTATATCACCTCGGTAACACAACCTAAGAAGGGCAAAGATCAGACACCCGAGGTCATCCGCCAACAAATTCCTGATAATCAGCAAGTTATGGGTGTTGAGATAGTAGATA